CGCCGAAATGAGCTGCTCAAGGCGCACAACCAACTGCTTCGCCAGGTCGCGGACGCCCAAAAGACGCTCGCAGACGAAGCCGCGACGGCACTGTTTGTAGACGCGCCACCCGACGAGCGGGACGCGTTCTTTGCGTTGCAGCGGCGCGTCATCATGGTGCGTCTACAAAAGCACGGACGGGATTTGGACAACGCGGCAGTGTAATCGCATCAACATTAATGCAGTGTACTACCCGCCATTACAATAGTCCAGTCAGATGATATCCTGCTCGTCCAGCGATGGACGAAGCCGAGGAGCTGTAGCATTATATGCCCTTGTTGTACACAGCATGCGCTGGTATGTCGTCTTGCTTGCGGCTCTTGGTAGGACTGATTACGAGATCGATGAACAAAATGTGATGTCACGTTCAGAGTTTCGTCAAGCGACTTGACTGTCCGCGCACGCGTGCGCTCCTTTCCACTATTGCCACACCGTCCAACCACAGCGGGGCTCGTTTGGATGTAGTATGGACTGGCGTGTGATTCTGTGTAGGCGATCATGGTTGAGTTGAAGACAGGGTTGAAGACTGCAATGTATTTGCACCATAACCGCCAATCAAAACGGCTGTTTAGTCTGCATATTGGCCAATCACGTCCTTGATTGCATGGTGGACTCTGCCGTGGACCAGAATTCGATCGATGGCCCGCGGGACCAAGTACTCGACCGCCGAAGACCTGCGTCTCGCCCGCGCGATCGTGGCCGCCGCCCGCAGTCAGAGCGACGACAACGTCAAGCTTTTCTGGATGGACGTGTACAGCCACTTTGCGGCTCTTGGAAAGCAAATCCGCGCCGCCGACATGCGCTCGCCCAGCGGCGTCGAGCAGCACTGGCACAGCGTCGCCGACAACATGCGCCGCTTTGCGAAGATCCACGAGGCCGTGGTGACAACCAGCGTCGACGAAGAGGATGCCATGGCGATGGCATGCACCAAGTACGTGCAGGACAGCGGCCGCGTGTTCAAGCACCTTGAAGTGTGGCAGTACCTCCGTGACGAAGCACCATTGTCATACAAAGCCTTGCTGACAGGGCACCCCCGGTTTCCTGTTGCGGACGCGTCAACACCCATTGAGAAGCTCGTGACAGACCGTGCGCCTGAGAACGCGCTGCCGACGCCCGCCCCGGTGCAAGAGCCGAGCCGGACCAGTGACGCGACTTCAACGCCCATGGAGGAGACGCCAGTGGCAACCTCTAGCCGTGCCAGCAGCAACACGACAGCCACCAAGAAGCGCAAGGCCATTGACTATCCGGCCGCCATGCTGGCGCAGCGGCAGCGAAAGAATGATCTGTTGGCGCAGCACAACGAGCTCTTGCGCCAGCTTGTGGATGCTCAATCCACGATGGCACATGTCGCCGCCTTCGCACAAGCACCTGCCGACGAGCGCGAGCAAGCGGCAGCACTGCAGCGCCGTGTGATGCTTGCACGGCTAGAAAAGGAAGCAAAAGCACTGGGACTTGACGTCGCCAGCTCGAATCGGTAGTCCAATTCGTTGCTAATAACGTCGTTTTGATGCCTCCACATACCCATGCGACCCCAAGGCCATCGATCAGACCACACAACTACGGCCAAGTACCATAGATCCCTACATGGTTTAAACCAGACTGTCGTACCTAACTCGATAGAAGTGAATTCGTTTAAACCGGCGCAGCCACCGCGACGGGATGTCGAGCTGGTACAGCGATGTCGATCGCGATGTTTCACGCGACGTGGACATAGAAGTAAAGCTATTGCAACAAAGATGATTTGGAACTGTCCGACCTCGCGCGAGGGATCCCTTGGCGAGTGGGGCCCACCCATTTTTGGATCCACCACCGGGAGGATCGTCGCTCCGTGCACAGCTCACTACCAACGACGAAGTGCTGGGGCGAATTCCCGCGCATTCAGGCGTAGCACTACGTAGGCGAAGTAATTAGTTAGTTTTTGCTAATTTGATTTCAACGCGAACACGTTTGATTGATTGATTGATTTATTGATTAATTGACTGATTGATTGCAACTCTCGTCAAGTCGTCGTCCGACGACAATCGACGCGGCGAGGTACCGACCCATTCATGGATCCCAAGCAGCAGTATCCGGGCTGCCAAGGTAGCACGAATGTACGAGCAGCGTGCTCCAGCACGCCGGGTCTGGCCAAAAATCGCCTACGAGTCTCACATCCATCGACGGACGACATTCTGTGACCGATTCCGCTCCCTGGCAACAACCAAAACGTGAAACACCAGACAGAGGGAGGCCGTACTCCCTAAACACCGGCTAGTGTACTACGAAGCAGAACGGAACGTGACAGCTAAGCTACGTCTACAGACTGCTGTCAAAGGCTGTACAGTCCCACATCAACGGGCTTCTCCCGTAGGACTAAACATGCAAACACTCATCGCCTTGTCCCGGCCTAGTGGTGTTGACGTGGGCTAGGCTCACACCCAGTGCCCCACCACTGTATGCGACCAACGGTCACACATTCTCGTCACATTAGACCACGTCGTACCGGGGTGCAGGAGACGCCACACGCTCGGCGTCCGCATACACCTTGTCTGCTTCCTTCATGACCTTGGTCGCCACCTCAAGCTTATCCTTCTTGGGGGCTGCCTTGACCTTGCGGTTCGTCTTGGGTCGAGCGACGCATGCAATGGGTAGTCGCATGTGTCGTATCAAACAGCTTCAAATCTTTATTCCTGCCCAATCACGCATCGCGAAAATACGAGTTTTTGACCAATCCAAATACCTGGATTCTGCATGCACGTCCGATCGGCAGTTTACAGACTTGGCGCCGAGCTCCAACGCCGGCCATGAGCGCGCTACGGACGACCCACCCGACGAGGGCGGCCTACGATGCCGCTCTAGACCTGCTGCGCGAGTCGACGGCCTACGCCTACCAGAGCACGGTTGCATGGCACCTGCAGCCGCAGCTGGCCATCGACGGCGTCGATGGCTGCCTGTCCTGGCCGATGGCCATGCACCAAGAACAGCAGCTCTGGACGCGCTATGCCCACTACAGCATCCTTCCAACGTCCAAGGTTCGCATCATCAACGAAGATGCGTGGGCGACGCTCGTGCGAACGAGCCTTTTGCCCGACATCCAGCAGACGCTGCGCGTCACCGACACGGGCGTCGTCGCCGTCTTTTCGCATCTGTGCATCGACACGCATGGCTCGTCGGCGTGCCTCAACCCGCGACCGGATATTGCCAACGTGTTTGGGATGCTTCTGGTGTCGCTGCCGTCCTCCGTCAATGGCGGCGCGATCGCGATGGCGTATGGCGGCGGCTCGACGATGCAGCGTCCGTCTCAAAAGACAATGCAAGTGCTTGCAACGCGCCTTAATGCAACCATCACATCGTCGCCGATCCGAGCTGGCCGTCGCGTCGCGCTCGTGTACGCCTTGGTGGCGACGGACGTGGACGCACGCGTCCTTCCGCCGCTGCCAACACACGACGACACCGTCGCCGCCTTTGCAGCGATCGCTGCGCACCCGCCATCTGCGCTGCAACGCCTAGGGATCCGTCTCGAGTGCAAATTGGACACCTTGTCGTTCGAGTGCCTTGCGCCCATGGACGCGGCGTTGGTCGACGCCTTGATCGCGACACGGCACTTTGACGTTGCGCTCGTTCAACTTGGCGGTAACATCTTGCGCCACAATGACGCACCACGCATGTGCTGTCCCAGCCGACGTCGTGTCCTGTCTTTCTGGAAAACGCATCGATTCGCTGCTTGGCGCCGTCCACGGCTCGTCGTCGCCCCATGCGATTGTGTTTTGGCTCAAGCCGTACCGCGCAGGTCTTGTCGGACGCCTCGCTGCTCTTGCACTCGCGCAGACTGCTAAAGAGGATACGGAGCGCCTTGGTCTGGGCGCTCGGGAGCTTCTTCGCGGCATTCTCGCAACGTTTCTCGACACTGGAACGTCGTCCCATGCCACCATGACAGCACGCGACATGCACGCGATGACGAGCCTCTTGCTACAGCGCCGCCATGTCGACCTCGCTGCGATCTTCCTTTCCAACGTTGTCTCGATTGCGCGCACGATCTCGATCCAGGACATGGCGACTTGCATCCATGCGTGTCTGGCAACGTACGACTGGACACTGCTCTTTTCAGCCGTCCAGAGCCTTCTACGTCGATGGCTACGTGTGCGCCCGATGCGTGACAGTACTCGTCTCCTTCTGAGCCTCGCGGGTGCCACGAATGGCGACGACGCCGTGTGCCGTCCGCTACAGCAGCCGTATGTGTGTGAGCTCATAAAAATGAGCTGGGATCGGATCGCACCATCGGTCTTGACTCTGGACCGAGGGTCGTACCCCGCCGAGCACTGGATTCTACTCGACTGGTACCTCGACGAGTTTGCGCCGCCGCTCAAGTATGGCAACTGGCTCGGCACCCGCCTACCGCCTGCGCTTACGCTCATCGTCGACAGCTACCTTCACACGCGTCCGTTTGGCTCGGTGCTCTCGGGTGTGCACACGTCGGCGTCGTGGCTGCTCCAGCATGTACCACAAGGCCTTGTCCGAGCCATTGCACGCCAACCAACACTGCCTCGGCGGCGGTACCTGGACGTTTTGTCGGTCGCGATCAACGAGATTCGGAGCACGTCCGACGATGTCCATCACTCGATCTCGTCGACCAAAGTGGGTGCCATTATAGACGCGATGGAGACCTTGGGCCAAAACACCCCATGTCTACTGGACGCGTGTCGGAAGCTCAGTTCCAACCGCAGCGTCGTCGCCGGTATCTTGCAGTTTCTCAAGCACCCGACGTCGCCGGTCACACCGTCGGCCCAATCGCTCGTCGCCGAGTATGTCGTGTCGATTGCAGCATCGTTTTTCAACAGGAGTGGCGCCCAGCGCAACGCGCGAGACGGCAAAGCTATCGTCGATGTCATCGAAGTGCTCACGTTGGCGGCACCGAGCAAAGTGCCGACATTTCTCACAGGGTGGCTCGCGGCGCAGTCCTCGACGCTGGACGCGACACGCTCTGTGCTCTATCCTGTGGTCGAGCTGCTACGCACGCGATTCCAAGACCGAGACCTCGACCTTGTGGCGCAGCTAGCGACAGTGTGTCTGACACGGTTTCTCGACGGTAATGCGCTCGCGCCGGTGCCCGACTTTGGCAACGACTTTGTCTTGGCCGAAGTGGCTGTGGACGCGAGGCATTGCGCGCAGTGCACTCGGCTCGCGCGCTTCCTGCAAGACGGACTGAGCACCGAGTACGACCACGAAGCGCACAGCATTTGCTAGCGAGTGGAAGCGCTCGTGGATGACCACGCTGCACAGCTCGCGCTGGAGCGGAACGGAGACGTGCACGGCGACCCCTACGACGACTTTGACAATTTTGACGACGGCCTGTTTGGTGGCGGCTTTATGGGCGGCTACGCACTGGCCGATCACTATGTCGTGCGCAAGCTCGCGCAACCGGGTCGTGCGACGGTCGATGATCTCGATGAATATCGTCGGCGCATCAAGCTGCTCAAGGACGACGCCAAGCGCATTGCAATGCTTGACGACATACTCGCGATCCATGCGGCAGCCATTGATGAGGATGAACCGTCGCCCAAGCGCCCGCGGCTTGGCACATCGTAGTGCGAATTGGATGTCTCCGTGTCGAACTGTAGTGTTCATGATGAGAACTGAAGTGTTTTGTCCCTTATCTGCTTGGAACGCTGCGTTTGAATGCTGCACCAAGGTTGGTAGCTGACGGCGACGATGACGTCGGCGGCCTCATTAAGACGCGGTCTCAATGCGGTCTTGTTGCTTTGAGTTTGAAACCATCGAGGGTAACCATTGAGTGGATCCAACTTTCTCCCTCAAGCGATTTTCAATTACATACACACTTCAAGTCAAAGCAGATTCCCACGTTTTCGACGAGAAAACGTCGAAGCCGCTATCGACGCGTTTCTAATTTGGCTGATGACGGTGAATGATTTTGACTTGCGCCCATGACGGGAACGGTGAGAACACAAAGGCGACGACCTCTTGCGCGCTGACAAGTCGCAGAGCTGTAGCGACAACCCTACCCTCAGCTCCCGCGTCCCGAGACACGCCTGCCGCACCAAGCTCGGCAATAAGGCCGTCGAGCGCACAGCCGATGGCACCGCCACACAGAGCGATACCATCTGCTTATCGTCCAACCCAGCGCGGCCCAAGCTCTGGCGCCGCTCATGGTCCATGACCAGCGGGACAACCGCTTCGCGTAGATCGCCAGGAGAGCATACGCCACGTTTTCGCCAACGTTCCAGTACCGAGATGCTTACGGTAGGCCGAAGAACTGAAGCAACGCGGCAAGATCAGCCTCGATACGTATGATCTGTGTTCAGGCTCCTCCTCTAACTTCTCAGGGAAAACACAGGTATGCAATGAGCACGATGTAGACCGTTGGCGCCAGCGTCAAGAGCTCGTCTTAAAGCCAAGACTGCACTGATATAGTGTTGCTGCGCAGCACCAGCGCGGCTACATCGTCGGTGTAGAGCGCTTCAGCCGTGAATGACTACGATCCTCGCTCAATGAGCTGCCTGCTCTTGCGACTGCCTGCTATCACTTCCGATACCATTCGACGCAAGGTGCTTTGGTGTAGTTTTATGCTTAAATTGGGCATAATACAACGATGCAGTCCTCTCTAGTCGTTCTTGCGAGCGTGTACGCAGTGTGCTCCATGTCCCTGCTGTCTTGGCGACCGCGCTCGTTGCGTTGGCGCCAAAACCACCGTATTGTAGCCAATCAGCACGCAGAACTGGACGTTTTCTCGTTATAGCTCACTTGATTTCGACCTCTCCATGGACCAGCAGCGGTTGAGCAAGCGGGCGGGCGTGGCGCCGATGGCGGTCGTGCAAAGCAACGTCCTTGTCGATATCATACACTGCTTGGACTCGACCAGAGACGTCTTATCGCTGCTTCAGGCGCTCCCACCCGCTTCGCTCGATGCGCCGCTCGCTGCGCTCTGGACACTCTTGGTGACACCCGATGCCTTGGACGCCAAGCACTGGCCGCAGGTTTGCGTGGAAGAGATCGATCGCCGCTACACCTCTATCGTGCTTGCGGCGCTCCCACTCTTTCGCTCGATTCGCATCAAGAGCATTGTGAGCCTCAATGCCACGTTGCTTGACGCCCCCATCGAGTATGGTACATGGTCTCGTCCCGCAACGGCCGATTTCGCCGCCAAGTGGGGACACAAAATCGAGTCCATCGAAGTCATGCCGTGTGAAGAAGGGCGAGGCATGGACGAGATGCGCCGAATCCTTCGACGCTGCACGGGGCTCCGTCGCATCGACTGCATCGTCGACGAGTCGAACGCGACATTTTTGAATGCTGCTGTGCAAGCAGTGCCGCACGTCCAACGCATTGTCTTTTTGTCGACCTGCTTGTTTCGTAGCGAACACTGGCGACCGGTCCTTTCCACGTGGCTCGCGTCTGGCCACGCGACGCACCTCCATCTCGATATTTTTACGTGCGACGACGACGTGGAAATGGGTCATGACATCGCCGCCACGACGTCGCTCACGAGCCTCAAACTAAACGACTCGCCTGGTGTCGTCCAAGGACTTGTCGACGCAAAAGTGCCCCTACCCAACATCACCGAGCTCCGTCTGCAGTCGGCTCGGTCGGATATCCTTCGAAACTTTGTGACACACCGAATTCACCACCCACGTCTTCGCGTCCTCGAGCTGGCGTCCAATTATGACGCCAGCTGCACGTTTGTCTTGCTGCTACTGCCGCAGTTGAGTGCTCTGGAAGAGCTGACGTTCCATCAGTGCAAGCTACGCGACGTGCCGGCCCTGCAAAAAACGCCGACACCACGTCTTCGTTTGCTTCATTTGGCCAGCTGCGACATGGACGACAATGTTCTCGTCCGTCTTCTGGATTGGGCCTCGCGGTCCCCAAGCCTCGAGACGGTCGAGCTCGCTCTGTGCGACCTGCCGTGGCACGAGCCCGAGCTAGGACGCTTTGTCCGCAGCCTTCAGAAGTGTATTGCGGTGGGCGCAAGCTCCATCACTATCCACGCCTTCAGTTTGCGTTGCGTCAAGACCATCGCCGAAGTGCTCCGGAATTTGCATCCGACGACACCGTTTGTCCTCAAGATCGACGTGATGCAAAGCGAATGCTGCGAGCCGCTTCTGGAGGCGCTCGCCACGTGCACCGGCGTCAGCATTGAGTGGTCGTTTTTAGGAGGTCTCGCGCACCGTGGTTTCGTCATGATGCACAAGCTGGCAGAGTCGCTCGAGCTACACATCGAAAGGCACGCCCAGGATATGGTGCTCATTTATAGCCCTGTGTTTCCACGAGAGACGACAACCTCAACGAGCCCGCCACACATCTTTTGAAAAACCCAAATTTATCCATCATCTATCCATTGATCAATCCATTATCGATAGTACAAAGCATTCCATCGTGAGGTATTGTTGCGTGTACCGCGCGCGATAATCTAGTTGGTAATACATTTTGTAAATTTTGTCGGGTGTCGTGATTGTTGTGAGTCTATTCGTCGTGGTCGTGGTGGCTGCGCCGGTTTTGGCAAAGTCGCTCCTATCGCATTATGAATGACAGGAGTCCTATAGTCTAAACAATGTAGACACCTATGTTACTACACACTTGTCTGTGGTTGTGTGGTCCGATCGATGATTTCAGTCGAGTGCGTAGGCGGACACAACCTTGTACGGGTCGATAGGTTGCGCCTCGAGAGAGACGAGCGCAACGTCAAAGCGACCTGTCGTGATGAGAGAAGGTGTAGGATTTAAGGCTGCAAACGCCTTTCTTCCGTCGCCGCACAAGCCACCGGAAGTCCCGACCCGTGGTTCCACCCAAGAAGCTCCGCAAGGTTGCGGTCCAGCGCGACCATCTCCCGACCTAGGTCGGTGAGTATGTCTTTAAAAGTGCGTTGACCAGCCTTCCGACCCGGACCAAGCTCAAGTCAATGGAAGCACTTTGTCCCGAACGACCTCGATGACGTTTGTTTACGGCGCGCGTTCCATTCGCCTGAGGCTTGTCAGGCGGGACGTGCCAAGTAGAAACCGTGCAGAGTTGCCAATCCGACGACGTTTCAAAAGATGGGCACCAATCCAATCGCGCGATCTTGATTTATCGATCCATCAATCACATGCACCGTCGCGATCAAAATGCCACCTCTCTGGTGAATCGTTGTTGTGAGGCGTCCATTTGCTCTGTCAGAACTCAAATACATCACCTCTCATCCATGTTCTTCTATTCTGCGGGTTACTTTGGCCGTTGATCGTAGCCGATGTGTCCATCTGCTTGTCGCCGGCACTTGTCTCGGTGCCTTCTGTGGCGCTCTCGCCTTTCATCTCCTTGCGCAGTCTCGCAGTGCATGCTCTGAGGTAACAACCTCGATCACCAGTGCGCAACGGATCGCACTCGGGTTCGCGGCCTCGGCCAAGATGGTCAACTCGCCCGTCTTCAACGCGGCTGTCCTTCAACGGGCTAGTGTGCCCCTGACACAAGCACAAGTGTACAACCTACGCGACTATGCCCCGTCACAAGTCGTGTTGCAATCTGGTCGGTTCTCGATCACCGTTGCCTGCGTGCGTGCTCGTGACACAGGACCATGTCTCGTTCACGTTTCAGCGGACCCTGGCTGCCACGACTGCGACCGAAGACGTTCTTACGACCGCCAATCCCGTCACAGTTCTCTGGGCGCACGGCGACATGGGGTTCCCATCGTACCAAACAGACCGCCCGCGTGCAATTGGGTTACAAGGGTTATTGCCGCTGCCTCTGCAAGTGTGACCACGCACACGACGAGCATTGTTGTCATGGGCTGTTGGCTTGTTGTGCTCACAGGGCTCCACGTCACGTGTACGTTGCGCGTTTGAAGAACCATCAGTCGAGGGCGCCGTGTGGATGAAAGCATTGTCTTGTTGAAACAAGAACTTGTTGTCGTGCTGCCAGTACGTCACACCTTTGCCTTAGCCACACGGGCCTTTTTGCGGGCAGGTGTCATCATGGGCGCCGCAGGTCGCTTCTTGAACTTCAACTTGCAGCTCGAGTTGAGTAGCTGACAGACACGGCGAGGGCCGATGGGAAGGGCATTCCGTTCGACGAGCTCCGCCGCGGTGTACTTGCCCGTGCGAGCCGACCGAATGAGTCGGCGGTGGAGGGTCGCACTCAGTCGAGATGGACGGCCGGGCGAGCGAGCAGTGCCGTAGGTGTCCGGGGAGAGTAAGAAGCCGCGAATACATCCACGGGAGCGATTGAGCTGGGTCGCGATGTAGCTGATCGTCTTCTGCTCGCGCTGAAGCACGAGAATCTCGCGCCTTTCGGCGTCGGACAATGGACTTCCTCTGGGCATGGAATTGGGTCCTATATTGCACACACTAATGAGTCACATGAGCCCTTGATGTTACCTCGAAGTTACCTTGCTTTCTGCTGCGGACTAGGGCTCAAATCACAAACTGACTTCTGTCGGCATATCTTTATTTCAGGAGCACTTTCTGTCGTCAGTCAAAATACGCTTTTTTATGCGCACGATCGTCGATCGCGAAAGATCGTCATGTCGGCTACGAAGTCCTCTATGATTGGTTGAAATTACGCACTGAAACAGCCAATCCAAGACGCGCGAGCCCTCCATGAAGTGGATGGCATGTCTTTATTGCGATCACTTTACGAGCACGTGATCCTACATACTCATCCTCGTCAGCAGTGGCATCACGCCAATGCGAAGCGCGCTCTGAGCTGCACTGGGTCGTTCGCTACCCGGTCAGTTTCTTGAGCGTGGACGACCGACGTCGTTGCAAGTGGTTGTAACTTACTGCGCGTCGCACTGACTGTGCGGCAGGCACCATGGTTCATGCTTCTACGTCAACGCTTCGTCGCTCTCGCGGCTCGAGCGTGTCGTTGCCTCTGCTCGTCGCGAGTGCTCGGCATTACGCTTTCGAATCGGTGTCGACTTTTACAGTGTGGTGTTCGAGCTCTAAGACTCCAATAAGACGTAGCGCTGCTTTGTAGCACATTTCACACAGCACTTGTGCGTCCTGATGCGATGGAAAACGGGCCGAAGGTGAGAGGCCCTTTGCCACCGGCCGACAGGGCGAGCAGGGTGTCGCTCGCGGCACCAACCATGCATGCACGTAGCTCGTGCGCGAAGCGGAGTCTGTTGCGCCTTGCCTGTTGCGTCCGAGATCTCGAAGTGGCAAAAGCTCATGCACACACCATATATGATCGGATTGATGGAGCAGACACAGATCGTCTACGAGGTCCACGGCTGGAAGCGGAAGGTCAACGGCTTGTCCGGCATGAGCATCGTCTGGAGAATTGCGTGCGGGTGCGTCTCGTCTGGCGCCCACTGGATTTCGACGCGGCGCACGACGTGGGCCAAGAAGAGGTACATTTTCGTCTCGGCGAGGCGCCGCCCGGCACAGCTGCGCGCGCCAAAGCCAAACGGCAGCGTCGAGTACGCCTCCTGCTTGCGGCTCTGGGGCAATTTGCGACCGCGCTCCAGCCACCGGTCGGGCACAAAGCTCTCCGGCTCATCAAAGACGGACGGATTGCGGCTCATCGAGTAGGTGGCCATGAGCACGTTCGTGCCTCTCGGAAGGTCGTGCCCGAGGAGCGTCATGTCCTGCGAGAGGTAGCGCTGGTTGGGGGTGGCCACCGGATACAAGCGCAGCGTCTCCTTGACCACCGCTCGGATGTACGAGAGCTTCTCGAAGCTCATGGCGTCGAATTCCGCGGCGCCGTCCAGTGCCGACTCGACCTCGGCGCGCATCTTGGCTTGAATCTCGCGGCTCTTGGGCGATGTCGTGAGACAGTAGAGCGCCCAGAGCAGCGCAGTCGACGTCGTATCGACGCCCGCAAAGAGCACATCGAGCGCCTGCGCGACCGCGTCGCGCTCGCTGAGCTCGGGCCGCTGCAGAAAGAGCGTGAGCAAATCGGACTCCGCGCGCGGCTCGCGACACGCGATCTTCTCGCGCACCATGTCGTGCCCCAAGCGGAAGATAAAGTCGACGTCCGACGCCCACGTGCGCCTTGTACGCGGGTAGAAACTTGTACACGATGCGCGGCGCGTCGGGCGGAATCGCCATGAGCTGCTGGGTGGTCTCGAAGAAGCCGTCCACCGCGCGGATGAAGGCTTGTGCCGGTGCAGACACGGGCGTCGACGGGTTTGGCGAGAGGCAACCCATGCGCTTTCCAAAGACGATCGACGAGACAGCTTCGAGCGTAAACGCCTTGGTCGTCAGCGTCATGGGCACATCGCCGCTCGGTGACGCACGCGCTTGGCTCTGGATGCGGGCCGCGACGTCACGCGCGACCGCATCGAGGCGCGGCAGCCACGATTGAACGTTGTGCGGTTGAAGCAGGTGCGCGCTCATGCCGAGCCGGAACTTCTTCCACTCGGCGTACTCGTTCGTATTGGTCAAGCCCAACGGCCACTGTCTCTCGTCGCGGTACAGCTTCCAGAAGGCGAAGAGCTGGCGCTGCGGCATGGCGCCTTCGTGTCGGTAGATCTGGGCGACCGCGTCTGGGTCCGAGATGCTCACCGCGTACGATTGGAATGGAAGGAACCGAACGCGGAAGATGGGGCCGAGGCACGCGTGGAGCGCGTGGAGGCGCTCAAAGAGGAAGCGGAAGCCATTCTTGGGCGCAAAGTGCGCAAAGCTGCAGCGCAGCGGGCCAAAACCCAACTCTGGCGCGACGGGAATGCCGCGTAGGCTGGGCGAGGCAGTGGCGACGGCGGCCAACGTGGACTTGAGGCGGGTCCGGAGCATTGGAGAATGACCAAAAACAAGTCGTCCGCAACAAGGTCGAGGAGCGAACCTGGGCGCGATCGCGTCAGTACGCACGACTGCATAGATCAAACCACGGTCAGTGGCACTTGCACGACGGATGCTACGAGTGGCGCCATCTCGGCGGTATCTTGCTGCTGATAGCTCAAACGGCAAGCTCAACAGCAAGCTCAACAGCAAGTTGAGACACCGAGCTCAAAACCGACATCATCGACATGCGTTCGGTCTTCACACCGATGCACTCGACCATTTGACTAGCGTCACCTTCATTTCAATGCAGTCGTTCAGTCGATCGTCATCATGACGGCGTTGCTAGAGGTTGCGCCATTCCAGCGGTATCCTTGTGGGTCAAAACTCAAAAACGTATTCAAACGGCAAGTTGAGACACCAAACTCAACTTGGCGGATAGTCCGCCTTTAGGTCCGGGAGGGTTAACCCTCCCAGACCCAGACTTAACCCTCCCAGATCTTTAAAAACAGTACCCTCACACCATCTGCCATGGCTACTGACGTAGCAGCAAACTGATCGACGGAGATGGCGGTGCAGCTGAGCGGTGCATGGAAATTCACGCGGCTTTCTGGACGCAACTAAAAGCACCCAACTTGAAGCATGCGCATCAACGACCTAAAGGCGCGAGCGATGGTCGAGCGGCCGTTTACAGGTGGCGTGAAGCAAGGCTTCAAAGGGTGCTGCTTTCGCGCAGCACAGCACGCGTCACTTCACTTGCATCGTCTGGCTGGCACCAACGACCTGCACGTGTGGTTTTGCTGTCGAGCGTCACGGCAGCTCTCGTCGGACCTTGTGGTATTGTCTATCTTGAGCACTGCCGCTGGATGGCCACCGCACCGACACATCCCGACTCCAGGAAACAGCGAGCCAGAGTGTTCAAGAAGACAAGAGAGAGTTCACTTTTTAGGGGGGTTGTTCTTGCTTGACGAACGAAGCGGCGTGGCGTAGCTGGCTCGGAGCTCCGAGAACGCACCGGCGCGGAAGACACTTAAAAGCGGCGTCGGTGTCGCCTTGCCGCGTCCCGGCGTCGATCGGAAGGGCGTCGGTGTCTTCTTGGCCTTCATGCGCTACACAACCAATGCGCGTGTCATCAGCCATTGTCTCTTTTAGCAATAAGACCTGTTTGTTCTTGGCGTCCATGGCGAGTGCAAGCTTTTCTCGCTTGGACTTGTCCTTGATTTCAAAGACGGGGCGATCTACAGGCGCATGGATAAGAGCTCGCTCCGCTCGCGGGCTGCACCACGTACGGGCGGGCGTCTCGCTCGGGAGGATCATCGGTGTTGCCGCAATGTCGCCCCACGTCATGAGTGGCGATCCGTTGCCGTCGCCAGGTACAATGAGCGGCGTCATCTCGACCAAGTCCAGCGGCGCAGCAGGTGCAATGTCTGGCGGCAATTCTTGGCTCGCGAGAAACGCAGACGAGAAGCGCGAGTTGGCGTACACAGTTTCCATCGGCTTCTTGGCCACCGCGCCCGTCCGAAGCGATTTGGTCAGCGCACGATCCGGCGCTGGGGGCGTGCCATTCTCAAGCAAGAGCACGTCGCCCGTCGTCGTTGCCTCCAGCTAGACGCGAGGTTGTGAGAGGAATTCGTCGAGATTTCGAAACCTTGCAAATGGCCCGGGACGTCTCGAGGTCGGGCGGAAAGAGCAGCTGGTTCCGGGCGCGGAAGGTCCACGTGTCGGGCGCGACAGGTCGAGCGTCTTCCAAGGCTACATCCATGAGTAAGCGTAATGCACTAGTGTATCCATGCAATCTAATGAGATGATCTACCGAGCTTTGTGTCGCATGCTTTGTCCATGAGGAGCCGTCGCTCCTGTGTCATCTTGGTGCCATCAGGTAGCAGGAGCAAGCGCGTATTCGCGTGGTCATCGTCGAACGCCCAGTGGTACTTCTTCTTGTGCTCGGCGACGGCCTTCTCTTGCAGCTCCTCGAACGCTGCATTGTCCTCGGACGTGTGCGTTGCCTGGGGTAAGGTCAGCGCATGGGTTGCATATCCTCGTTCGACGTACCAAGAAGTGGTTCAATGTCATCGTTGCGGTTGCTTTGCTTGGCGCTTCGCCGGCGTCATCGACGGTAGCATCGTCTTCGGTAGGCTCATCAATGTCGCTGGAGGTGCGTGGCGGTGTGGGAACGTCCCATGCCGATGCGCCCTCGTCGTCTGCCCGCTTGCGCTTGCTGCCGCCTGTAAGGCTCTCTAGTGGTATGGCACATATATGTGAGCTCAGCGCCATCGCGGCGTAGGGGCGTACGCTGTGACCTTGAGCTCGTCTTCGTCTGCGGGCGCTTTTGCTGGTCGTTGGCAATGTACTGGCGAACTTGAGCGATCAAGGCCGCGTTCTTCGTGGCCAGCGCATCGAGCCACTACGTGAGATGACGCATGAGGCTTGTAGCCAAGGGCGCGCGATGTTTACCATGGTCTGGTACTTGAGCTTGGGCAGATCCGGGAAGAAGTCCCGCTCGATGATCGCGTCCAGCGCCTCGACGTACGCATCTTCCTCGAGGACCTGCTTCCGGTTCGAAGCCATGGACGCAAATTCCGGTTCCATGCTTCATCCGGATAGAGAAGCCCACGGTGGAAAATACGCCACTGGTGAAAAAGAGGACCAAGATCGGTGTGAAATCACATTGGCACAACACCCGGCAACAGCTCTCGCCAGGATGGCAGGAGACAGCAGCACCCATGCGCCACCGCGGGCAGAGAAGAGGCAGCTGCAGGGATCCAGGCCGCGCAGCCGCACCACCAGCGAAACCCGCTACGCAAATCGTCGTACGTCGTTGGTGAAAACAGCCAGCTTTGGCGCAAGCCGCACCGTGCCAGTCTTCACGCGACAGGGCTCTTGCCCGCGTGCGACTTGGCGCGGACTGAATTGTCCACCGTGCCAGCTGCACGCACGTCGCGCCAAGATTGGTCCACGCAGACCTCCGCGTCATGCACGCGGACCTGTGACACCCAGCGTCCGAGGCCGTGCCCGCTTGGAGAGGAGCTGCAGCGCCGCCATCGAGCAACACGGCGTTGGACTTACGACGACGGCCAGGTTACGCGGTTGCCATGGCCCAATTATGGAGCGCGAAACAGCACTTTGGCTAGCGGTGCTAAGGCGAAACACTGGAAGCCGTCGTGAAACAGTGTTTTGGCGTCCAGAATCTAGCGCCGACGCTGTGCGAGACACCGCGGCACCTGAGAAAAGTCGCGTCAACCGTTTGTGGAACCAGCGGCGAGCCAATCAGTGCCGACCAAATCCCATTCTGTTCGCTCAGATCCGAGCGGCGGCCATAAGATTTTATTGTCTTACCACGATTTGGCCGGATAAACAAACGACCTCGTATATCCGGATGGTAAACTGCACACTATTTCAACTTTGATTGGCCAATCGTTCTGAACCTGAATAGTGTACGTTCTTCGTTGATCGCAGCTGAGCAGCGTGACGACGTGTAAAGCTGGTGTCTCCTGTAGTCGCGTTGATTCTATTGATGCATAGCATACACTTCTCAACTTTAAATCAATTGTCCTTCGCGCTCGGCGCGATATTTTGGTCGTCGCCCGATATACGACCGTTGCCGACGACTTAACAGTATTTAAGAACAACACTATACAAACATGGATTCAAATTCGTGCCAAGGATCGCATTCCAGCTTTTCGACTTGATTTCGCAAGTTGCTTGACTCTGTCGCTGCTGTTTAATACCATCATGGTCATGCGCCGCTTCCAGTTCCACCACATTGCCCGACGGGTGCCAACGCTTGTGCCGAAGCGGTTCGCGTCGTCGTCGTCGCCGCTGCCCGTGGCCCCGCCCAGCGCGCTCCTGCGCGGCCTCTACCACCAGGTCAAGAGCCTTCTGCACTTCCACGAGCTTCGCCACAACCTCGACCCGTCGCTCCCGGCACGAAAAAAGTGGCACGTGTGCACAAGCCTGCAAGTGCTCGACGAGCCGCTGGCTATGGACGAGTTTCTCGATGGCGCCAAGACCGCGGTTGACGCGGTGCTGCATCAAATGTACTCGGACGCGTTCCGCGCGTACGTGGCCGATCCATCGGTCATGTCGGACGACGTGCAATGGCTTCACGATATGATGTCGCGCCGCCGCTTTGACGCGTGCGTGTTTGAAATCCAAGAAGCCAAGAAGCGAGGCATGCGCTACGACCTGCGGCACATTCGGTTTGCCAACGTTGCCGTCTTCCAGGCGTCGGTCGCCAACGACATCATGCAGCTCCAGGTGCACTGCGACATGGTGCACACGGTGCGCGTCACGTCGGGCCATCGCGATTTTCAAGTGCAAAAGTCGTCGTCGATGCTCTGGTCGTTTGAATCGCCCGTCGACGCCGACCAGCGCGAGTGGCGGATTGTCGATTTCCACGACATTGACCTCCCCGACTACTAAGATCGCGGTGTCGTCGCTGCCCACCTCTGTATTTATCGACAAATAGGGTGTACGAGCCGACCGAATCGTAAGGCTAGTGTATAAGTAATTGTTCGTCGTCCGTACTCGCTCGTTCATCTGCCAGGGCATGCTGTAATGTATGGTGAATGAACAGTATGAGCGAGCTTGTGCACAAGCACCAAGCAGTCTCCATTGATAGCGTAGCCACTTTCTCCAGCGGTAAAGTGGCTACGAGACCAACGAAGCCGCCGACTTGCATAACGACGTTACTTGCACTTACCGGCACGGAGCGCACGATATAGGTGCTTGCCGCAATCGCGAGGCTCGACACATCAAGGCCATGACCCGGGCTATACACTACTTGTATAGTATTATCGCCTTGATTCCAGTGGCGGTGGAGTCTGGGGTAGGCGTGAGCGGGCTGCTAGTAAGTGAGCGCCGAGCTTTGCTCTGGTGAAGATGAGTTGTCCTTCTAGTGCTGTTCATTCGGCTCCAGACGGCAGTCAACAATGGAGTAAAGTCAGCAACTAGATCTATTTTTCTTGACCCGGTTATCAAGAGAGACGCTCCTGCGATGCCAGCACAGGATCGTCAATAGTGTACAAATACGTACACTCCTTGTGTACTCGTACATCGATCGCACTAGCAACTCGTGAACGCAACCACTGGTAGCTCAGCCAGGCCACGGATTGCTGCACCGAGGCCGATGCGCCTACACGTAGATCCGCACGTCACTGGACGACGTCGATGCTCGCTTCAACACTGACACACCAAAGACGATGCGCGAGTACGCCAACGCGATCGAGTCAAGTGTCCTGGACCGCCAGCGCCTCGCCGCGCTTGTGCACCAGGCAGTTCTGCACCCCATGGTGACGCTCAACTGGGCAGCCACCGCATGCCCGTTTGGAGAAACCACGACGCGTGCTTCCTCAAGGTATACAAAGCATTCCTCTCACCAATGCACTCTGGTATCAGTTTACGCCTTCCGACCCCGAGGAGCTGGTGCGACGACGAGGCTTTGTGCGAGCGCTTCCCTCGATTAAACTTGACGCGCGTCCGTCCTTGCGCGCGAGCATCTTCCAGGTACGACACGCATGACGTGCTCAGAGAGCAGGAGACGCCGGCGTGGGTCACACATGTCATTGCGGAGAGCGGACATGTGTTTATAAAGACGATAGAGCCTTGTCCTCGACTGCTACTGGGTTGTAGCCGTCGATCTCCAGGGGAATGTACCGCGAGTGTGCCAAGGTCGTATGTACTGGACGGTGGTAAGAGGCTCATAAAGCCCGTAGATCTTGACGCTAGCTCGAGGAATCGCTGCAGCGTGCAAAATGCAAACCCAGCTGGTGACCCACGGCGACGGTGACAAGTTGCAGCGGCGCGTGTGCGCACATTGCGGCCGATCGTTTTCGTTCTGTCGCGCCGGCGGCACTGCGAGCTCTGTGCCGAGGTGTGTCGCTTCTTGTCTTTGGCTCGGACAAGATGGCTATATCCATACTATCGGTGAGCCGGTGCTGCGACTTCAAGATGCCAATGGTCATCGACGGGCACAACACACGCGTTGGAGTCTCTCATTTTCGCTACAACGCCTGCAGCCGCTTCCCCACCGCCTCCACGTTTGATTTGAGCCAGACGGAGGGTTATGGTGGTTTTCTAAATGTAGGCGCGACGACCAAGTGGCTGGCCGACAGCATTCAGCCGGTTGCAGCGTCACTCTCGAGCCTCTCGGAGACGGCGGCGTCACTGTCGAACGACGGACTGCATCACGTGCTGCACCACGTGTCGATTCGGAGCCTCGTCGACGCGCTGGATCTTGGTAGCTCGGTTCGCCAGTACCTCGAGACGACGGCGACGTCGGTCTTTACAAGGACGCTTGGAGCTGTGTCGCCACCGCGACTCATTGTTTAGTCTCGCATACACGGTACAAATACACAGTAGCACGCAGCACAGTGGACTTTTGTGCACAGAAAGATACCGGTACAGCGACTTTATGAGATCAGGCCTTTGCAAGCACGCATGCGCGACCCGGGCCCGACGCGCCACTGCTATGTACTGTGCGTAAAAATGATAGGGCGCGAGGGCCCGGCCCCATGAGTGGTTGTGATTACTCATCTGGATGGATTTCAGACCCAGCTTCCTCCCGCAACGGCCCAAACGTTGCCGCGGCTACGGTCCAGTCCTTGATCTGGTGAGTAACTCGCTGTCTAGACGCGCATGCGCCACGACACTGGAAGCCGCCACGAGACGCTTGTGTCCGCTCGACCAGACAAGCAAGCGGTTGACGTCATCGCTTTCAGGGTCGTGTAAAAAGGGCAACTATGGTTCGTGGGTGTTGGACCGAGCTGTTGACGGGCTCGGCTCGTGAAGGATGCAGAGGTGCACCGCACCCAGATCGTCTCCAGATAGAGCCGTGGTCGACTCCCGCCAAAAACAGACCGGGCCCAGCCCCCCAGTCCTGCATTCCGTTGGCCTGCGAATTTCCTTTGAACGAGTCGTCTGGTCGCCGACCAGGCATGCAAGGTAGCATGCTTGGGAGGCAAGCATGTGTACGTAAGCGGTAATCCTTGCGGCTGCTTGGTTGTTGCAAGCAAGGCGCGGGACCAGATGCATGACATCAACATTGCCTTCTCGACATCGTC